TGATGTAATAAACATTAAATACTCAGTATCTCTGTATCTGACCCAAACATTTAGTTTCACAATGGGCCTCATGCAAGAACATGTTCGTATTTTTATCCTAAATTTCTCTTACTTTTGTTCGTACAAAGGGTTCGTACGAACATACCACGTCAGATTCAACAAACTCTTCTATCTTCAGGAAAAGGGTGTAAATGAGTTGCGTAAACATGATGAATTCCACCTGTTTGTATCCAGCTGCACGTGCACGCGGAGAGGAGATTAGCATAATTACCACCCCAAAAACACCATATAAGGTTCTGTTTCCTGCCTCAGATACCAGGAAGTGTCCATTCATGAAAATGACAGCGAAAAGTAAAAAGAAGAACTTTACGAGTTCAGAGATTGAAGTCCTGCTCTCCGAGATAGAGAAAAGAAAATCTGTACCTTTTAGCAGCGTCAGTCGTGGAATTAAAGGAGCTGCTAAAGCCAAAGAATGGAATGAAATAACTACTGCTGTTAATGCTGTGTCTCGTATACAGTCACAGAAATAAAAATCTAAATCATATTCATCTCTATAATCCTGCTGTGGTTTTTCTTTGGTCAAACATTTTTAATTTTTCTAAAACCTATATTTCGTGTTCAGAATTAGTGATGCCTTCACCGATTCTTGAGTTATTCATTCACCTATTACACAAGCATTACAGACGCTTGTTTTTAAAATGTGTGCCAAGTCTTTTTTTTTTTCTTCAGCCTGTGCCATAGCCAATCATTGTAGCTCCCTCCAGCCCTGCGTCTTCATTGACAAAAGCCTGGGTAGCTTAATACGTAAGGATGGAAACAGGATTGTTCAGGTTGTGTCTGTGTAGACAAACTGTTTGTGCTCATTCATACTTTTAATAGGTTAGCTTTGCCACAGTGTTCTACACAGAGTTCTACAATTTTAACTCCAGTGTTTATTTCATTAGGARTTTGACATCTGTCTTTTGTTCTTGTGGTTCCTGAACCACTGAAGTCAGGGTACAACAATGTGCATAAAAATAATACAATGGGTTTTCTCTTAACCTGTACTTTGAAGGGTACGAGCATGGTACCTATTGTTTATTCCCTCAAAGAAACATTTTTTCACCATAAGGCAGGGTTGATTTTTTCCTCTGTCTGACAGTTTGACTGACAGGGTCAACAAATCCTGTCATAATCTGTTTTTACCTGTCATGTTTTTTAAATGATGATAATTAAACATTCAATAGCATTTATTTTAATTAATTTTTACTCTAAACAAGCTAAACAGATAATCCACATCAGCCAGATGTAACTTTTCAAAAAGCACTGACTCTGGTCCCAACAACTGCAATGAAATTAAACAATATGAACAGATCACCTGCTGTGGACTGAACTGATCTCACACCTTCCTCCTGCTCCTCGTGGACCTGAATGGCACACCCTCTTGTACGTAATCTATCGTTAGGGGGCTTGCTGCAGTGGCTTTTGTCATGAGGYTTTGGACTTTTGCCTCGGACAGAAGACTTCTCATGGCTGTCTTCATTTTCACCTCTTTTATCAACACCATTGTTGATYGGGCTTTTTGAAGAAAGGTCAGACACCCAGCTGCCGTGACGTTTTTAGAAGTGAAGCCAATGTGGTATTTCATCAAGTGAGAAAATAAACAAACAAACAAACAAATAAATAAATAAATAATTAAATAAAGTGCTTTCAAACAAAATGCTGAACAAAAACAGATAATTTAAACCCCCGGTTCATTGCATTCTGTCAAAATGATCGATGGCCTTCAGACTTTTCCGTCACTGTTTAAAAAAATTCTTAAATACTGAAAATATTTGGTTAACGCGACCCCTGACTTAAGGCGCATTTTCTGTTACATTTTGTCCAACCCAAGGTACGTTTTTAGCCTCTATAATACATATTGAACCGTTAGATGAATTTTTTGCACCCTAAAGTTGTATGGTCTCTTCACACAGTATTTCCTCTTTTAAACTTAAATTCTCTCTCACAAGTGTCAGTAGCTGTGTTTYCATCTACAGTTTATTATGTGCATTTTGAAATATCACATTAGAAAAGGTGGATGGGAACTGTAAAATAAAATAAAAAAAACTACCTAAATATTGCAAAAAACGTTTTTACGCTCGCCCGAGGTGGTTTTTCGGATTTTCTGAAAAAGAGTTGGTGTGCAAAAGGGGAGATGGAAACACATTTGCAGAATAAGTTCTGATGTAGTGAACATTTACGTCAATCAGTTGTTCCTGCTGTCCAATAATTGTAGCGGCTGCAGCTGGACCCTCCTCCTGCTGTCTGTGTCTTTCTGGATATTCTCGTAATGTGAAGAGAATTACATTTCTCTCTCTACATCTGCAGACAGCATGTAACATCACCAACACTAGCTGATATGACAGAATAATTACAACTTTCCTGATAGCAGCAATATGTTTGATAACTTCTCTCCATTGTCCTGAGATGTGTCCCTGTGAGTTTGACTTTACTTCCTGTTTACTACAGTCATGTGTAACATCAATGTCTGATGTAATGTAATTACACTTTGTGTAGCCTGGTTGATTCACTCCAACCAGTTGATGAAAACACGTCTGATGTGCATTTCTTTTTTTGCAGCATTTCAAAAGTTTGCTCAAATTTTTCATTAAAGTTGGATGGAAACACAGCTAGTTATGATTATTTTTCTGCTCACAGTATGACTCACAGTATTTTGTGTTTGTTGTGTTTTTAGCACAACCTTTTTAAATTGTACTTGTTTGTGTACAATCAGTGTGATAAAAACCTTCTG